TTGGTTTTAGTGTGAGAAAGAGGCGTGGCACGGGATAGAAACTCCAACGGAATATTAATTTAATCGACTTCCCGATGAAAATCGTTCCACCTTTTAAAAGCAGTTTACAAGCTTCGCGTAAACTGGTCTACAGTTTGCAGGTATAAAATGGTTTACAGCAATGTCTTTAGCCTTACGGGCATTAACATACATTCTACAAGAATATGAAAATTTCTGGTGAAATTTTTACTATTTTGCTAAGTTGCTTCGCGGCAGTTGTTTACGAAGAAACACTAATAATACGAGGAAATATGCAATTGTCTGTGTACTCGTTCGATTAGGTCAGCTCAGTTCGTAGTAGAAGATGAAAAAATTGTTAATCTGAGAAATGCAGATATTTGGTATAGAGTTCATTATTATTATTTTCTAGTCCTTACTTGTGATTTTACGTATAATAATTAATATTTTTTTCCTTTTGTTTTCCATAATTTACAGATTTTCTCCATAATAAAAACTGCATTGCCTACCTACTTTTTCACCCCTCCCGTATTATTCGGAAACAACAGACTGTATTTTTGCACTGTCACGTCTTTTTTCAATGATACAATAAAAATCCGTTCAAAATATTTATCTTTTGACTATAAAATACAACAATAATCGATTAAGCTTCCTGTTTGTTAATTGTTAATAATAATGAAGTAATTTTCACCATTGTTAACGCTCCCCAACCTCGTTAAACGGCACAAAAACAAAATATACTATTGCAATAAACGCCTATTAACCTGTTTATTCGGCTGATAATTAGATATCTTGGAAAATTTCTGATATTGTGCAAGGGAAAGAATTATTTTATATGTGAAGTGCCTGTAATGTTTGCGTTGTCAAATATCGATTTTCAATTGTGCGCTTGAATACGGATGTTTTTCTTCATTAACACCCAATTCTCTCACGGATTTTTCTATTTTGGATAGAAACAATACTTTCAAATAATCGAGTTAAGTATGCTTATGTATACTTGACAGTTATTCTACTGTGTTAAACTTAAAAGGATTGTGTAATCGAGAGGGGAGACAGGACGGTTCACATCAATGAGCGGTATTTTTCACAAGTTAGAGGAATGGTAGATCGATCAGGAATCAATCACAGTAGTGAGCACAAATCTTTTTTCTTGCTATCCACATGACTAAAATGAACAAAAGTGGATCTATAATAAAGGAGAGAATCTATTTTTTAACGTCATACGTGGAGGGTATTCGATTTATAATGGTTGTAATAAACCTTAAACCAGAAGCAGAAAGACTTTTTAAAATTGAATTAAATAGGAATTACTTTGAAATCAATCTTTGGAAAATCGTTTCCTTTCTGCTACATTCTAATTCTAAGAAAATTTACTATTTTGAATTAAATAATATAAATTATTAATCTTCTAGTTTTAGGATTTCGGAGTCACTTACCTTTATAAGATCTTAACAAATAAACAAAGGTTTTATTCTCGTTTCTTAAACAATAAAATTGATTTTAAAAATGCAGGTTTTTTCACGATACATAAGAAATGCTTGAATGAATAATTAGTAACAAATGTTTATGAGGCTCCAATAAACGCAGTGTTCTTCAAACGAACCTCCCGTTTGAGGGCCTGCGTTTAATATAAGAAGGGAAAGAAATCGCTGCATTTTCTTTTTCAAGTTAAAGAGTACTATAAATTTTCTCGCTTACAAATGCCACAAAAAAGGCTAAAATTAAAAATGGAGTGCAGAAAAGAAGACTGTAAACCTTCTCTACTCATAACTTTATCAAATGTGAAAAGAGGCACATTATTAGAAATATAATCGATATTTTACAAGATAAAAGAATAAAGTAGTAGCCCTTACCAAGTTTCATGTAACCACACGACATAAAATCCTGGTCAAATCAGAAAGGTATTACCCAACCAACATTCATTTTAGCATCAAAATTGCATTCAGAAAAGCTGGAAACTGAGTCATACAGGAGAAAGAAGAAAATAAAAAAGATTGCATGTTGACTGGAGGCAAAAGATTTCTTTACCTACATCAACCTTGTTACTCGGTATTTTGTAAATAATAAATTCTCTCTTTACCAATAAAAGCTTTATTATTATAGACAATGGCGAAGGATGTTAAGAAAAAAGAAGAGACTTTCTAAGATGACGAATAAGATAAAGGCTTCTATAATGCCCGAAGAATTTTTTGACAGACACGTGAAGTATTTTTCTACAGAATTCCTAAAAGAATATTGAAAGAAGGTCAATATGTATCTATAACTTTCATAACCACGCATGAGAAAACCGGAGTTATTGTAATAAATAATAGATTTCTACATGATCCTCTTCATTATCTTTCATTCATTGGTTGTTGGTTTGATTTTGCGAAATTATAGCCCTATCACGAGATCTCTTTTTAATTGTAAAGCATCATTAATAGACAACATGAAATGAATACGAAGTACTTTAAAAATTTTCATTATATATATGTGGACTCGAGTAAATCTTCATTAAATCCGATTCCACACGATTCCCCCTCTATCTCCTCACCCCTCGACCTTTCACCACTAAAATTTAATAGCACCAATCCTATTAATGTGCAAAAGCCTCTGCAAAATTTCACAAATTTTCGACAAAAGGCGCAGGAGTTATTAAGCTTGAAATCGCAGAAAAACCCCCAAATTTTTTGCATTTTTCGATGTTTGAAGGTCCCCAACTCCAAAATTTCTGGGGTCATTTTTGACTGACCACCACACTTTCCCTATGTTATATATAAAAGTATAAAAATATAATCTACTAAAGAGTGAAAGCGTTAATAATGTATTTAGAATAAATTAAAATAAGCATAAAGTATAAAATTGGCATGGCATATACACGCCAATACACGAAAAAGTGCGTTTAAATTCAAAAGAATATGATAATTATCGATCAGAATTTAGTTAAATTACTCATTCCATAATTGAAAATACGAAGATAAACAAACGAAGAGAAGTAAGTTCTCGAGAGTGGTGAGCGTGCTACAAAGCAGAAGTCTCCACTGAGTCTCCACATTAATGCCTTTGAAGTTTGGAAATGCAGAAAATTAAATATCTATTAAATTAAAATTAAACAGAAAATTAATAAGTGAAATGGATAAATGAATAAAGTTTATATTTTACTTTTATTACGTTCCATTCATTAGCGGCCAGAGTATCGCATAATAGGACGAAAAGTATTAAATATATGATGCAATTAAAGCAGAAATTCTGATTAAAATTCAACACAAACGACACTTTACGAGAATCGGCCAACGAAAATATATTATCATTATTATTATTACCATTATTGCAGCATTCGAAGAGCATCAACAAGTAATTGGTAAGACCTGCAATACGTTCGGACCGACAGGAAAACGGTGGTCGATTTACATAAATCTGTGGATTTACAGTAAGTGTGGGGAGTTTCGACTTGTTTCTGCAGTTATAAACGTCATAATTTAAATATAATAAAAGTCCCGCTCCTTAAAATAAGAGGAGAAGATTAAGATTCTGGCAAATTTTCGATGGAATACGTTCGGAAAATGGAGTTTACGGCATATTTATGCTGCCACGCTTCAATCCTTATTGCGAAATATATGGAGGAGGAGCGAAGGATTTAGGAGGTTCTATCGTTTTATTATTTTTATGTGTAGGATCAAATGTAATAAGTTAAAATGAAGAAGAACGATCCCGAAAGGTTCAGTTTTTCGTTACGTTTTCGTTATTTTCGGTTATAGATGCTATAACCGAATTTTAGAATATATGAAATTATAGCTAGATGTAGAAGTGTTCTAGATAAAATTTGTGGTGGTAGTTCTAGAAATAATTCCGTTTTCTTCTTTCAATTGTCAAACTGAACTGACGAAGCACATCGTCAATTGCTAAGTTTCGAATATTTTCTGATTTGATCGATCAGTTTTCAAGAATCGACCGACAAAACATATTGATTTGTGATTAAACAGATTGATCAGTGCATCGACGAGCGATCAGAATAATTGATTTGCTCGAATTTTATACATTTTGATCATATAAGTCATATGAAGTGCTATCTGTTTCAATTTATTATTTTATTTTGCTCTCTCGAACATATAACTTAATTGATATCAACTCGAAAAATTTCGAATACCTTAAGAGGGGAGAGCAAACTTCAAATTTAATATTGAAAGAAAATTCTAATCATCACTCTCTGTTAAGAGCCAAGACATTTCTCTAAAGATTTCTCATTTCCAAATGTCTGTTTAAAGCTCCCATAATAAATAAATAAATAAATAAAAAGATTTCTCTAGGAAACACGTTCTCTACCATAAACTCGTATCATTTAAGAATACCCCAAAAGAAAGAAAGAAAAAAAAAAAGGTTTTGAGGATTATTTGAATTTTAAACAAACATCGAAGGTCGTTCTCCTTCGTCTATAAGGGCGTTTCCTGACAAAAGATCAGAATTTCGTCCTTGGATAATAAATCAACAGGTGCCCATTCCCTGGAAAGTTCGACCCCCCTGTTGATTTCTATACGCCCCGTTCGAATCGATACAATATATTAATTAATAAAATAAACATGGTGTCCGTAAAGAGCGCACTCGAGTTTGTTTATATATAAAGCTCTTAATATCGAGTTCGTTGTTTAGAGTTGCAAAAAGAGATCCCCGCAAGTGAGTTCACGCGTGTGGTCCACGTTTGCTTATCCAGCAAAAGTTTTAAGTCGACCCTTTTTCTGTGATTGATTAGACAACTTAATTAGTCAACAGATAACGACTGTTATTAGTATCGATGTTTACAATGAATCGGATGTAACCCGAATTACGGATGCGTGTCTCGTCTAGGGGATGATAAATTTCACTAGACTGCATTAATGAGGCTGGCCAGAAGAGTTGTTAACTACTTGGAAAATGGTCCGGCGATTAAAATCGCCACCCCTCACTGTTAAGGTGGAAGTTATTTAATACCGAAAAAAAGATCGATTAAGCCAAAATTTACTATATTCTTTTTCTTTAATGGTTTACAGGAGACACGTCTGCGTGCAGAATAAAGTCGTCACTCGTCCCATAAAACAGGTGGAGTCTTACTGTAAACCCGTATACAAGACGTACACTTATGTGTGCGACAAGGAAAAATATCGCCTCTGCTCCTCTTTCAGGTAAGGTAACCTCGCCGGACATTTAAATAATACGATTTTGATGTATAATTAAAATGCTTTAATTTAGAGTGGTGTACGAAAAGGCTCTCAGGACCGTTCACAAAATAGCCGCTCAGACAGAAACTCTGTACGTTTGCTGCCCGGGTTGGACGCAGGTTTCTCAAGCGAAACACGACTGTACTCAAGGTATTTAGTTAAGTATCAAAGGTTCGATCCTTAAATTATTTTTCTGTAATTGTTACGATTTGATTCGCAGCTATCTGCATTCAAGAATGTAAAAATGGAGGAAAGTGTAAGAAACCGGATCACTGCCACTGTCCTCTGGGATGGACTGGAAAAAGCTGCGATATAGGTAATTCGTTTATGATTAATACACGAGAAAACTTTACTAAAGGTGCGAACGGTAATGATCCTGAATACTTTAACATACTGACACTACTGACAAACGAAATGACATATAAACAAGACACAACAATGTCAAGAATCGCACATGGTTTTAATATGGCTTCTACCGTTTTATTCCCAACCTGTGGTACGCGTACCCCTAGGGGTACGCGATAGGTTGTTTAGGGGTACAGAAAAAAGTTAGTTATTATAGCAGAAAAAATAATATATTATGTATCACAAACTAATAGTATTAAAAAATTATTAGGTAAAACATGTTCCTTGCAACAATCATAACTTTTTATACATTTTTTCATTTATTTTTTTTTCTTTAATTTAAAGTTACAATATGTAAAATTAACAATACAGGTACTCACTAAATTTCTTAAATGAGGGGTACAATCTAGAGATATGACATGTCACGGGGTACGCTAATGAAAAAAGGTTGGGAACCACTGATCTAGAACAATAGATTTTCCTTTGAGGGAATCTGTATTATTTAAAATCACGAATCGTCACCGATGATACATAAAAGTATATAGTACGCAAATTAGCATAATGAGTAATTTGATAGACTGGTAAAACTTCACCCCACGCAAGCAAGTAATGCAACTTCGCGCGTTACTCTAGCACATATGGGAAATCTTCAAAATTGTAGTAGTTCCTCGGAACCTTATATTATTTAACAAACGACAAAAGATTTGATAGGAAATCAAAGGAATTCCGTTTGTTAATTCCTTCACAGTTTTCGCATTTCTAATTATTAGAATTTATGTATTTCGATGATTAAGATTTCAATTTAATACACTTGTACGTAATTTCCCGGGGTGCGAGATGAATGAAATTGCAGATGCTCTCCACGGGATCTCGGCAAAGACAATCGAAGAAGTCTACACTTACACGCGATATTTATAATCGATAAAGATCGAAAGTAAACAGGCAAATAAATCCGACACCAGGCATTCTGCATGGAGGAAAGTTGTCGCTTTTAACAAATTCAGTAGGCACGAGATGTCTCGGGATTAAAAAACACGCCATGCCAACTTTGCTGATGGAAGGAGGATAAGTTTTTACGAGGCAATAAATATTTCCGAGGATAATCTCGGGTGGAATTCGATGCGGTCCACACCTCACCGACGATAAACGTTTTATCCTATTATCTACTGTTTTAGACTCAGTGCGGGGACAAGTTTACCTTAATGAACTCAGTAAAAGGGGTCATTATCAGGTCGCCACAACGTAATTTTGACGGAAAAAAGCTGCAATTTTTCGCGTTAAGCACGTAGGACTGTAGGATCCCTTGGCATAATTTGATTTGTGTCGAGAATTTTTCGGAAAAGTTACTGTTTTTTTTATAACAAATGAAAATGGACTAAGTTTTCTTGCGGTGGAACGTCTCTAACGGAGAACATCGTTTTGACAGATGTCAACGAATGTGTCCAGGACAACGGCAAGTGCGATCATTCGTGTGTAAATATGCCCGGAAGTTACAGGTGCAAGTGTCACGAAGGCTTTGTTCTTCAGTCTGACGGTAGAAGGTGTAAAAGTAAGTCCAAAATTCGTCTAGAAATAATTCATAGAGGGGAGGATATTGAGATGTTCTTAACGGTGTGCTATTATCAGTTAATTTAGGATTATTTCCGGAATATCAGAGGCTGATTCAGGGATACGAGGATCTGAGCAGAAGGATGGCGAGACTAGAAAAGGTATTTATGAAATTTGAATAAATTTCGACGCTTCTACCGTAATTTCACGGGATTAAAAGGTATTTCGCGTTCTTTTATAGTTGCAAGAACAGAACACGACCGAGTTATCCAAGAAAGTCGACTCGTTGGCTAAAGCAGTTGCCATCTTGTCAAAACCTCCATCACCCTCTCACAACTCATTAGGATCGATGGATTCACCTTTCGATCGAATCAACTCCCTCAGCGAACAAATCGCAATTCTGGAGGAGAGATTGGGAAGTTGTAAGTACTCTAGTTATTGATAGCTTTAATGGGAAATTACTCTCCCCCCTTAGTCTCAACCATCCTCTAAGTAACTCGGTCGATCTAGTTTCTTCTATTAAAAAAAAAAAAATCGCTCGACTTACGTTAAACATTGTTTTCCATACACGGCCTTCGAGACAATCATTTTAAAGGCGACAATCCTTCACCCCGAGCCTTATAATCCGAAGGGGTTACCGCAAATAGTAACAAACTGGTACAATAGCCGCTTATAATCTACGCGATTTTTCACGAGTAAACAATTGAAGTCGCGATACCTCTCCCCATTCGTCCGGCTTTAGGCACGTTTCTTTTGTGCACGAGTTGTAAAGATGACACCTTATTATAATAGTCGAAAACGCTTTATCTAAGGAAAAATTATTTTCAGGTTTGTGCAATCAGCAGTTGGAAACAAATTACGCGCCTAGGGGTTGATCCCCCTCGTAAGAGCGTGGCGTTTGTCATCGTCATCGCCGTCGTAGTCTTCGGATTCATGTATTAATCGTCGCCTCCGGCATGGGTTTCCTACTTGTCAACTCGTTTATATATGTGTACACAATGGCATTTTTCTTCCGATTTACCGAACGGGGAGGAGGAGATCTCCGCCTTTAATTCACACTGCCCCCCGATTTCGGTCCAGTTGACCGAAAAAGGTGTAGACTAATTTCTACGGAACACGCACCGTCGTCGATGATTTTACCGTTTTAAATGTGATTGTTTAATAAACGCTCCATACACGTCATCGTCTTGGCACCGTATTTCGTGTTGGATTGTAAATAAGGACGGGAATAAAACTATTCCGAGTCGAGTCTGCTTCGTATATCTGATTAATGTGCTTTTTTATGTTGGAACCGGAAAACTTTGAGATTCAATTTCGCACGCGACGAATACCAATCGGTTTTCGAAACCTTTTTTTCTCCTCCTCCTCCTCCTTTCTCCTCTTCCTAAACTCTAGCGCCGAGGAAAGAACGTTTGGCAAAGTTGGGTAAAGCAAATTGCACGGACTCCACCCAACCATCATCCGATTTCAACATCTGTTTCTGCTATTAATGTTTTTCCGAATCCCCACAATTCGTGGAACCGGTCCAATCATCTCTTCGCGTATTTTCCTGGTACGGGTTGATCCTAACGACCGCGACCGATCACACTTCCGAACTAACAGATATTTATCTTTCTCCCCTTTCTTCCCTCCCCGCATTCGAAGTAAACACGTTTGCCAGACCGGAGCATCCCTCCTTTGTTGCCGGACACCGGAAGGGGAGCGTGCGCTCTGCGCCTTCCCAAAATGGAGGCGGTTCTCGTCGGTTCCGCTTTTTGTTAACAAAAGCGGCGTTCGTCTACGTCGCGAAATCTCCTCCGATTTTACGGTTCTCCCATCGATCGGCGCTCCAACTTTATGGTGATTTCACGCAACGCGAACACACCCAAAAACGCGTAAGTGCCGCTAAGAGGTGGGCGCGATCCTTTTTTAAAAAGCCAGCTTACCACCAGACAGCCGGCCGAACTCTCTCGTAACTTTATAAGAAAGTACGCCTAGTTATCCGATAACTATCAGCCTTGATCTCTCGCGCTTAAACTTTATCGATTTGTAAAGTTTTAGAGAGAGAATATACGAGAAAAATAGTGGAATTTGAAATCCAAGACGACCCTCCACTAAAAAAGAAAAATAATAATAAAAAAAAAGCACTTGTTAGTTCCAACAGACGCAAAAGTTTCAATTAGTTCTAGGATTTTACAAGTATGCAATTAATATTTGAAGCGATTTATTATTCAATAAATATGCCACCACTCGTGAAAATTTTATCGGGATCTTTTGCGGATGGGAAAAATCTTCCAAAATTTCTCCAATTTCCGATAATGACGAGTAAGTCCACGCACGAGAGTTTTAATTAAAAGCCTTTAATCACTTTCCAGATATACCAGAGTACACAAGATCTTTGAATTTTTAATATTTTGACACTTTAAAAATGGGGGGTGGCCCAGAAGTCGGTTGACGGCGGGTTTTTTCGTGCGTTAAATTCTGCATTTTAATATTTTTAAAGAGCAAAGCTTTGCCTGCAGAGTAACAAAAGCATTGGAAGAGACAGTTTCTAAGTCAGTTAACCGACTTTCGGGCCACCCGCATTTCCAATACGATGCCCGTTCGTAATATTTAAGTCCACGACACAGGAATAAAGGATTTAAAGCCAGGTGCCGTAACGGAACATTACGCTAAACTATGATATGTGTCTTCATTCACACCCATTAAAATACACTGCGTTTAAATGCGGGCTTTCTATACCCTTAATAATACTGGTTTGACAATAAACACTCTCTTTGGCATCGGTAATACTGAAGAAAGTAATGGAGTATAATTAAATAAATAAATATATATAAATCATCATGGCACATTAGAAACAAATTAACAATCTACTGTATACATTATATAAATTTACATAAACGTAATTTTTTAGCGATGTATAACAAAACAGGCATCATCATCATCATTAAAACCACGCACATTTATGATGATAATTTTAACATAAAAGTGGTTTAAATTAACACATTTATTACATCAAATTTTATTGACTCCACATATTCCGTTAGAAATTCAACAATGATTTCTCTCTCTCTTAAAATTAATTTTACAGCAGGTTTACACGTGACATTCCTATTATATTATAGATTACAAACCACAAGATTTCACATTATTGCTGAAATCAAATATCACAAAAAGGTAGTAATTGTGAAGTGTCTAAATTTCTTGCAAAAATATAATAAATTTTAACTGCGAGGGAAGCTGCGGGGGAGAGTCGCAGTTTTCCCTTTTCGAATGGAAAAGGTGGAGAGTAAGAACGAGAAATTTAGCGAATTTGGAAATGCCGGGAGATTCTATGTCATTAATAACCTATGCCGTGGATGAAAATTCGTGTTTCACTCTTAACGCTTGCAAAAATTTGAATTCTCTTTACAATATACCCAAAAACACTTACTTATACAAGATGCTTAATGATCGTTAAACTATGGAATATTTATTAATATTTACTAAACTACTTAATGTTTGAAAAAATAGAATGAATGGAAATAGGAATAGCGGTCTATTTAGGAACACAAACGATAGGAACGAGAGTAGTTCACGAAGGAAGTGCATACACGTTTGGGGTGTGCACTTACCATAAATGCAATTATTTAGCATTAGAGACTATAAATAAAGGGAAAAAAATCTTTGGTAAGAGCGTAACAATTACAAACATCAAAATCAATAACTTAACAACAATAATTAACCATTAGTGGTGGAAATTACGAATAAAATACAAACACACACACAAAAAAAATAATAATACTAAGAAAAACTAATACTTAGAACTTTGGAGTTATATTTACAAAATATATAACAAGGAATGGCAAACTTTGTATTTTGTACACTAAAGGAATGTAAATTCGTGTCGAAAGCTAACCTAACGCAAAGATCTTCCCCGGTTTCGCACGACGACAAATATGGCACTTTTAAATTAACGCTAATGATAAATATAGAACGATTTAATAAATATTATTAAACTATAATGGACTAGTATCTATCAATAATAATAATAAGCCGGAACGAGTATTTACTTTTATCGACAGTCGCTGCCGAAGGCGATGGTGACGAAACGGAAATGCTCGATTTAAGTTTTAAATATGTAGAGATTCAGTATATTTAATGTTAAAAAATTTGTCTAGAATTTCATTTTTCTCGATCTCGTGTTCGAATTCGAAATTTTTACGGACTTCTTGCCAAGAGATTCGCCACCACAGTCATAAAACCGTGTCCCATAGCTCCTCCAGAAACATACTCGAGGACATTACGTCACACTTATCTAGAAGCCTGGTAGATTCTAGATCAGAGTGTTCTGGATTTATATCCGAAAGCCAGGAGCTCCTCGAAAAACGGCTTTACATTTGTGTCGGTGACTTTCGGTTAAAACGGTTGCATGGATTTTAATATAGTTATGAAATTATTTCGATTTCATAAATGCCAATCTGGAATTTATAATTTTAACTTTTTACGTAACAATAACGATGTGCATGGGAATCCTTTTTCTTTAAATATGCAAAAAATTGATTTGAAAACATGGCTCGTAATTAATTTACATAATGAATTCCGAAAACACAATAAGTAAGAACTTTCGGAATTCCGAATTGTCGAATAAATCGCTTTTCGACTTTTTATCCCACAATTCTGGGAGTTCCATTCGACATTTTAAAGTTCCGTGTGTAAAGCAGCATTCGTCACTACACTTCGGAATGTTTTCTCGATCGTAAATTAATATACAAAATTTAAGATACAAATAAAATTTGTAATGTTCCACCAAAGTATCATATTTCTGCTTCTAAAACATACCGCTCCGTACTGTACATTGCAAATTTTTAAGTATATATCGAATTTTAAGTCGCGCTATTTTTTATATTTCGTAAATTATTTATAATAATAATAAATATCCAGTGTTCTTTCATATATATAATAAATTTAACGCACTAATAGCCAGATATGAATATTTCAACGGAGTTTAATAGTTAAGCAAACACTACTCTACAAGTCTAATTATAAATTCCAGATTGTAAAATGTTTCCTTCGTTATATATCTATATACGCGAAATTATGTATGGGAATTATTTATGGATTTTAAAATGTTTGACAAAATTAAATTTAAAAGAGAATCGGTAGATTTTAAATATGAATGTTGCATATTTAAACGTCCAAAACAGATGAACCTGCAAATTTTAAAGTTTGTTTTTCTGTTGTTTTTTGTATACTGTAAATACGTTCTCGAAATTACAAAATCTCTAATCAAATGGCAGTTATCTTGAATCCAAATTATACGATAGTTGGGAATACCTTGTATGATCTTTCCATTTGTTGTTTTATATGTGCTTTTTTTATGTAAGACTAGAAAATTCTCGTTTACCTGTACAAAATCATCTCATCCGCATAACTCCGTGTGTTTATGTTTATGTATATGTATGTATATATATATATATATATATATATAATTTAGGTTCTGGAATTCTTCAGTATTTACTAAACTCTTCGATCATCAGATTGCGCACTCTCTCCGTCAGCATGGGTATGTCGCCGATGGTTAATCCATTCGTGGATATCGGCTGTAGAACAGTTATTGTCGTCTTTCCTTTGTTAAAAACAAAGAAATTAGACCCGGACAACACACAAAATGAAATGAAATAAAGGCACATTTTAATCGTGTACTTACCCGTTTCGAATTTTCTCTCTCTCGGATTGTAGAATTTGGAATAAGGTGTGTACACGATAGGAATTATTGGTAACTGCGGAAGAAGGAAAAAAAAAACTCTTTAAATTCACTCTTATTTAAGTTTACGATATAAATTAAATCGTGTAAAATTACCTGAGACTGAACTGCAATGTGGAAAGCACCCTTCTTGAACGGTAGAATGTGTCCCTCGTTATTTCGTGTCCCTTCCGGAAATATCCAGCACTTGATCTGAAATGAATTCGTCATTGTTAACAAAAAAAGACAACTATTAAGTTATCCGCAATAAAACTTTATAAATTCATGTGTGGTCCTTAGTATTTTTCAAGGAAAAAGAGAGCTGGGGGGGAGGAAACGGAATTATTAAATCAGAACATTAAAATGTAATTGGATACTCACTGGAAATGTCATCTCGCGACGCGATAGACGATCGTACGAGAAAGTAATTAATATAAATATTAATGTCGTGTTTGATCGGGTTAAACGACTGACATTCCCGGATTTGTGTACACGTAACAAGTGTTGGAATCGTGTCGAATTTTATCCTACAGGTTGCTTGCAAAATCACGTTTACAGACCTAAACATCCCCCAAAAAAGGTGAAAAAATATTCCGTGCTCGTGTGTGGTGTAATTCGTTTAATACCCCAAAATGGGGTAAATATTAAGAAACGAAATTCGGCACGGTAGCTTGTGTATAGGGAATATTGATGCTGTTAAATTTTGGAGGTTAAAGGTCGTGGAAGTGGGGAGAGTTGTAGCACTTTCCGCATCTTAATGAAAATTTTACACGTTATTAGCATTTGCAATTTTGTTTTTTTAAAAAATTTGTCCGTATTCTCAGAATTAAGCTTTTTGCCATTTTATAATAGTCAATAATATAAAACGTTTATAACAAAATCTCGTAACAGATGGCGCCACACACAAATTTATTCATTACGATTAATAATAATAAAGTTATTTTCAAAATAAAATCTCGTAACAGCCGGGAAAGTTACGCAACTCATGGCTAATTTTTTAAAATTGTGTGAAATTAAATACTGTCTACTAAAAAATTTTTTAAAAATCCCGATTTTTTGGTCGGAAACACCAGATTTACAGTGCTAAAAGTATTTGCGGAAGCAAAATACCTTTTTCTCTTTCATCTCGTTCATTTTCGCATTGAGTAGTTTCCGGGCCTCTTCAGAATTGGAGCGGTTCAAGAACACGCAACCGGCCAACCAGCAAAAGATTCCGAAGGGTCCGGACCAAAAAAGCTCCTGTTTCAACACCGGCAAACAGGGATGGAAAAAAGGCCAGATGTGCATCATACCTGAAAATGTACCGACACAGAAAGGTTTAAACAATATACAATTCNTTCATTTATTATAAAGGAGAGAAACAAAAATTTATTTGAAAATACAAATATTTGTTTTATTTGAGTCTTTAATTAATAAAAAACGACGAAAAACCATTTTAAAGTGCATTTTTATTCAACTAATATATCTATAAATAATATGTAGTCAAAAAAGTAGCCAATGCGGCAAATGATATTTTTTATACCAAACTAATAAAAGTGTAGTCAAATCTTGCAACGCTGGAGGGACTACTAAATAAAGCTGGAGTTGGGACTCAAAGGATTATAGACCCAAAAGCATGGAAAGGAGAGAAAGGACGAAAGTAAAGAAGTGAGAAAGTTTGGAAAATTAAGGGTCAATATGCGCATAACAGAAGGTCTATTTAACCTTTTTAACTACTTTTTATCTTTTGGTCTTTCTCTCCTTTCCCCGAATTTGACTCTATACTCCTTTGAGTCACAACTCCAGCTTTATTTAGTATACTTTCCTCATTCACACATTTTCAAATATTTGAAAATATTTCCTTTCCACTCAAAAATAAAATGTTTATAAAGGTTTACGGCTTTGTGAAATTTCTTTTTTGAGTTTATGCCATTGAAATAAATAAAAAACTTTGTCGGTTTTGTTTACACGTTTATTGGGCCGCATTAGAACTTGCCTTGGGCCGCGGATTGGACACCCCTGATCTAGAGGATAAGAGTTTTAATTTGATAACCGAATGTATTTTAAACCCCAGCCAATTGCTCAAACTAAGACGGACAAACCGAGACCCTTTCTCAAATAATATAGAGACTAGCAGGAACCAGTCGAAATCGTTTTATTTAATTAAAATACATGGAGCTCATTTAAAATTTGGTGTTCTAAGGGAAAATCATCAGTACGGCAAGTGTTTTCCGGGCCATTTGCAATGATTCTAGTCTACCTGTTCTGTGATACCACGAGGCTCCCATGACAATTTAGCATTCTTAAGACTGACCAATTTCAACTGGTGGGATTTCGGATAAATGGAGATAGTATCCGCTCGCCTCGTGGCAATCTCGTGACTGTTATAAAGCTCTTAACGCACCAACAATCGTATTTTCGAATTTCTTCTTATAGTTGGTAGATATGTCGAAAAAGCCATCAATCGGCATTAAATAACAAATTAGACGGTTAGAATTACATTTTGGTCTCATCATATAATTACAGAATAAAAACAGATTGACACTAAAAGTGGTAGATGGTGCTGTGGTCAATATTGAAAAAACTAATTTACTGAAAGAATAACAGTTAAGTTTTGCAAAATTTCTTTTAATTAAACGAGTAATTAGCAAACAAAGCAGGAATTCACAGTAGTGGTGAGCAACGGATTGTTCAAACGATTAAGAAAAACCAAATCGCTAGATGGCGTGAGAGTGCCCGTCATGTTTGTTGTTTGTCTTTCGGTAGTCTTAACATTGTACCTTTGCCACTCACCATACTTGAATCATTGCACCATTGTCAAACCTCTCTTCGGCGGTATCAACTATAGCATAAGAGCTTTAATTTGATACCAGAACCGTATTTTTGAATAAAAGGCTGGGGCTAAAACCCCAGCGTTTATTCAAACCAAGTCTTACAGTTTCAAACCCTCTTTAAATACATAGATTAGTATGTTAATTAAAGATAAATGGCTTATTTTAAAATACAATTAACGGAGAATAATCCGAAAAATAGAAAAAAGCATGCAGAAGATTAACTAAAATTGAAATAAAATTATTTCGCAGAAAGCGATCATTTATAAATAACGAATTAATCACACTTAATTTTCTCTTTGTTATCAGTTTCTTTACGCTTTTGTTGAGATTTGAGGATATTATGGGTTGTTAAAATAAGCGCTGCGAGCATCGCTGCAGAGCGATTTCTTCGATAGCGTTACTTCATTCATTTTCTTAAAGAGCTGCGCGCAGCGGTCTTAACTGGTTGAGGTTAAATCTACTGTATAACGCTCGTTTCAGCTGCTTTTCTCCCTGCAACAGAGATAGCTGTCTCCACGGTGAAAAAGCTTTAATTTTTATATGATGTGACAGTAAAGTTATAAGGTTTTAAACACCGTATTTTGTTTGTACTAATTTTCTTTTAAAATACTCATTAGTAAAATAAAATCAGATTTGACAAAACCCGTATATTTAAAATGTTTTATCATCTATTTTATGTTGCAGGAAGAAGCTGAATATACTAAATCATTAAATTTACCACCCAAACGAAGCATTGAATCTTAAAAATGAATTACAGTACTTTTAAAATGCTTCGATTTAAATAATTTGTAAAATACTCCAAAAGCTTCATCGAAATCCGCCATTTTAGAGCTGCAATGCGCGTTGTTAAAAGACCTTCAGTAGCGATTGCTTCCTAGTGCTGAATTTAACTAGCATTAGTTATTCCGTTTACCTGTTCGACGTTTGACGATTTTTCTGTTTTGTTTAGAATAATATACTTGTTCCTTTATATTCTATAAAGTGTTGGTGTTGAGAAAAGCTGCGGGAGGTTGCAAGAGGTTTTGCAATCGCCCAACATGTTTGTCTCTCAGATTAAACATCGAACTTTTGCCACTCCGTCACGCCCGAACAATTGCACCTTTCTAAAATCTCTCACCAGCGGCATCATCTACAGAATACGATCTTTAATTTGATACCTAAACCGTACTTTTAGCCCCAGACGTTTACTCAAACTAAGTCGAACAAAGTGAAATCATCTTTCAATTAATATATAGAATTACACTATTACCACGTATCGTTGATTCGTATCAAAGATAAAAGGATTGCTGTCATCGTTTCATTATTTGGAAGGTAGAAGTATGATGCTTTTATTAAAATGTAACAAAACAACAATTTTTATAATTAATACTCTCAATAAAAATGTAAACAAAAACTTTAATGCAATTCAATAATTAAGAATTATGTTTACAAGTAACTTTAAAGTTACTTCTAAAGTACATTTGGGTCAAATCGACCCGGATATTAGTTCGTAAAACCTGATTTATTTGACAAGACACTTCAAAGGTTTCTAATTTCGAAGGTCATCATTATTGAGTGTATAAAATTACAACGTCTCGCAAACTCTTAAGTACATTCGATAATATCCTCTACCCATTTAGAAAAATATTCAACGAATATTTATAATTTACAGAAATCGGCCCTTTATTCAAATAACCAACTATACAACAGGCAATATTTTTCAATGGGCTAATCAACACAATATAGAATTTAAAATATTTTATTATACATCGAAACCTCTAAATCTTCAATTTGAAAGACCAATTTGGGTTATGAAAAGTTCGATATACAGCAGGAAAAATGTTTTTTTTTTTTTTTTTTTTCTACTTATTCAAACGCAAAGTACAGGGTGTCCGAAAAGTTACTGTGCAGTGGAGAAGATTTAAGTAAAGTTTTACCTACCATACTGCAGTTTCTCCTACGAAAAATGCCGGAAATGTCTGGGGGAGTGAGGTCCGGAGATCAAGTAGGCCAGATTCCGCGAAAACTTATGCGATCGGCAAAGAAGTCTTCCAAAAACCGGAACATGTGGATAGAGCGATAACGCCATCTATCGGAAAGTGTAAATGCAAGACGTGCGACTTACGGATCTCGTACTGAATGCCGTACTTATAACTTTAATGTCATTTTGAATTTCTCAGTGCACGGTAACTTTTTGGACACCCTGTACACAGTAGAATAAAAGATGTAATTCTGTGCTATATTTAAACCAATGACATTTATTTAAATCATTATTAGACAAATACATAAAGCTGTGATAATGAAATATTTAAATAAATTTAGGTACAGTACATTTTACTTAATACTTTCTGCCACAAATGAAGAACTCCGCCCTAAATAGAAATATGAATTACGAGAAAAATCAGTTCTCTCCAATGATAGTTAAAAAACAAAAGACTAAAATAGAGTTTAGCCACTTCAGTGTTCTCTAAATAACAATTCTCTGCCGCTGTGACAAAAACAAAAAAACTGCTAACATTTCTACCAGGTGGTGAACGTAACGTTTTAAGCTACTCGACGATGCTGTAGGAAAGGTAAATTTAGCAGATTTTTCCACTGTCGAGTTATCCGTCTGTATTAAAGTCATTTGCCCAGGCTACGTGCTTAAGGATTCGCTGAACTTAATAGGTTGGTGGGCACGTAGCGAGTTGTCTCGTGGGCGACAGGGACACGTGAAATTTCGTTCGACTTTAGGAGTGGAAAAATACACTACATTATACTGGGTGTTCGCCGGAACCAGCAATCCAATTCGGTTTACGCGGGGATCCAAGAAGCGATTACAAGTTTTATTGTATTTGGCAAGAAAATTAAGAGTGTTAAAAGTCGAAAGAATTTTTATTTTCAAAAATATTGTAGTTTAATTTTAGATTCTACCGACAAGGAAACTCAAAAGCATTTGATATAGTATTAAAGTTCTATTAAGAATATTGTTTAGTTTGAATTATTTGAAACAAATTTATTATATAGGCCTATATATATATTTCATAGAATTATTTGCCAAACTATTTGAATAACAAACAGGTATTAAGTTTCTTTATAGTTATTTCTCATAGGAACTTATTCAATTCCAGAAGCTAATCTATTCAAAATTCCTAAAGCTTATTCCATAAATATTTATTTAAAAAATGAACTTTCTTCGCATCAGCAGAAAAAGTGAATTAATTAAAAAGTTACACCACCATTCTCCAAAACTGGAGTACCAGCAAGACACTTTCAATATGAAAATTGTAGCCTTTCCATTCAGACAAAGTGAAACTTATATAAACACCTTTCCACCTTAGTAAAATTCAGACAGTAAATTAAGCACAATCACGCTGTGATAATGGCATTTTTGCCAGTCATTCTGGTAAATGACGAGAAGGAAATCAACTGGTCAGTCAATTAATCATTTACAACCCGCGTAGAATTTTAGAAATATTTAAAAAAAACTGGTGTATTTTGTATTTGTTTCCAAAATTTCAAGTTTTAAATTTTCATTTTACGAAAATCAATAATCTTACCTATGACGTCCAGAGCACTCTGATGATTGCACACGATCACTGCCGACTGGTCTTTTATGATCCTATCTGGATTCTGAATCTCCCAGTGAAAGCTGAAGACCGGATTGATGAGATTATCTACCATCCAAGTAGCGTATCTATTAAAAAAAAAAAATGCCATAGTAAATTACTTTTACAAAAATCTCAAAAATTAAATCTCTTATATGTGTAGGAAAATCGATTAATTTTCATTGCACCCGAATATAGTAATGTACTAACATTTCAACCGCTTAAATCTTCATAGTTGAAATACTCAGGGAGGCCCAAATTCAGTTATTCATGTAAAGTTTGGTTTATTTGGTTATGGCAACGCGACACGTGGGTGATCTGCCAAAGGGGAGGCCTACCGGGAGGACTTTCTATGAGACTGATCCGTATTTAGGTGTTAGAAACATGAAGGAAACCCGGAAAACTCCACATGGCAGTGGCGTGCCGTGACATTTGATGATAGGGAAGCTGTGTTTCTGTCAGAAACCGACTTCCAGGGGCAATCAGTTAATTGCGCGTCAATGATAGTCTAGGGTCCATTCATATTCGTTTGTTCGATAAGACAGCAAAAACCGAAGACTTCTCTAAATGTATTTTTAATAGATTATTTATCTGTTTATTAAAACAACAAGTTCAATATAATTGCCTCTGTTATTAGATTCAATATATTCCCGGTGCCCTCTAAATGCCAATTGTTGCTTTGATTAAAAAAAAAAAACATNACCGAAAGAAAGAAAGAAAAAAAAAAAAAAAGGTTTTGAGGATTATTTGAATTTTAAACAAACATCGAAGGTCGTTCTCCTTCGTCTATAAGGGCGTTTCCTGACAAAAGATCAGAATTTCGTCCTTGGATAATAAATCAACAGGTGCCCATTCCCTGGAAAGTTCGACCCCCCTGTTGATTTCTATACGCCCCGTTCGAATCGATACAATATATTAATTAATAAAATAAACATGGTGTCCGTAAAGAGCGCACTCGAGTTTGTTTATATATAAAGCTCTTAATATCGAGTTCGTTGTTTAGAGTTGCAAAAAGAGATCCCCGCAAGTGAGTTCACGCGTGTGGTCCACGTTTGCTTATCCAGCAAAAGTTTTAAGTCGACCCTTTTTCTGTGATTGATTAGACAACTTAATTAGTCAACAGATAACGACTGTTATTAGTATCGATGTTTACAATGAATCGGATGTAACCCGAATTACGGATGCGTGTCTCGTCTAGGGGATGATAAATTTCACTAGACTGCATTAATGAGGCTGGCCAGAAGAGTTGTTAACTACTTGGAAAATGGTCCGGCGATTAAAATCGCCACCCCTCACTGTTAAGGTGGAAGTTATTTAATACCGAAAAAAAGATCGATTAAGCCAAAATTTACTATATTCTTTTTCTTTAATGGTTTACAGGAGACACGTCTGCGTGCAGAATAAAGTCGTCACTCGTCCCATAAAACAGGTGGAGTCTTACTGTAAACCCGTATACAAGACGTACACTTATGTGTGCGACAAGGAAAAATATCGCCTCTGCTCCTCTTTCAGGTAAGGTAACCTCGCCGGACATTTAAATAATACGATTTTGATGTATAATTAAAATGCTTTAATTTAGAGTGGTGTACGAAAAGGCTCTCAGGACCGTTCACAAAATAGCCGCTCAGACAGAAACTCTGTACGTTTGCTGCCCGGGTTGGACGCAGGTTTCTCAAGCGAAACACGACTGTACTCAAGGTATTTAGTTAAGTATCAAAGGTTCGATCCTTAAATTATTTTTCTGTAATTGTTACGATTTGATTCGCAGCTATCTGCATTCAAGAATGTAAAAATGGAGGAAAGTGTAAGAAACCGGATCACTGCCACTGTCCTCTGGGATGGACTGGAAAAAGCTGCGATATAGGTAATTCGTTTATGATTAATACACGAGAAAACTTTACTAAAGGTGCGAACGGTAATGATCCTGAATACTTTAACATACTGACACTACTGACAAACGAAATGACATATAAACAAGACACAACAATGTCAAGAATCGCACATGGTTTTAATATGGCTTCTACCGTTTTATTCCCAACCTGTGGTACGCGTACCCCTAGGGGTACGCGATAGGTTGTTTAGGGGTACAGAAAAAAGTTAGTTATTATAGCAGAAAAAATAATATATTATGTATCACAAACTAATAGTATTAAAAAATTATTAGGTAAAACATGTTCCTTGCAACAATCATAACTTTTTATACATTTTTTCATNGTATGAATATACTTTTAAAGAAAATTATAATTAAATATAGCTTTGTAAAGAAACGTACATAAAAATAGCATAAAATATTCTTTACTTTTTAAATCTTAAAACAATCCACTTAGTCAAATAGCTCCTTACCAGTGGCTAATGGATGGAATCGGAGACGGTCCTGATAGGTGTGCAGTGCGTGCATGAACGTGGGCTGCCAAAACCCGGGGTGCCGATACTGGTCAATGTCAAACGCCTCTTTTGTCGCATCACTAGTATACCTCAAAGGACGCGACAGGATTGTTGTATCAATAAATTTTAAACGTTTCTCACCAGAGCAGTAAAAATCTAAATATGTTAAACTTAATAGATTGCCCGTCATTTGTTTTCTAACTAATTCGTTTTAGGACCAGGTGTCCACGGAGATTTCCAAAATTTACAACTATTCGGTCACTCATTAAACTGGAAAAATTTCTGTCTTTATTACATCTAATATTACGAAGAAATCAGTCCCAACTGTACTCGGCTAGAGATTGGTTCGGTTAAGCTTTATAGTAAAATTCTGGCTCCATCATGGTTTTTATTCATGTCCCTAATTTCCTAATCTCTTATTTCCATTTTAGTAGTAGTTAAATAATTAAGTTGAAACCGGTTACTTTGTACTTGAATATTTGTTTAGTCTTGGGAAAGAAGTGGAAAAAGAAATTTTTATGACAAAAGATACATAACTTGTAAATTTAAGGAATATAAATTCTAGAGCTTTTTTTATACCTTGTGCGTCTCATTCATTAAATTTGGTTGTAAATGATGATGTCAAAGTAACAGTTATTTTTTAACATTGTACAAGAATTGTAATATTTTTTCTGCATCCCCTCATAGATGGGACATAGTAAATCACCGTTTTAACATTGAAATTTATAAGTAATACAAGATGGGAAAGCAGAATAAATATATCAAATATTTTAATGAATTTTTTTAAAACTCCTCGTCAACTATACAGAACTATAATAAAAACATGCCAGTAAACTCCTATCGATGGGTTGTTATAAATCTCGTGATTCACATAATGGGGCGAGGGCGGCCAAATATCTAGCAGGCAGGCGGCTAACAGTTCAAAACCGGTCCTGGATAGAATCATTGGAAGCGTTATACAATATTTTGGTGTGTAGCTTCCAACCAGCTAAACCGCGAAATTTATGCTGTGTAAAGCACATGTTCAAATGCCTGTAGTCTTGTTGCTTTACACCAGCGCTGTCCAACTTATCATAGCCCGCGGGCCATATTTTTTTCACCGAACATTTCGGGGGCCGAGAAGGTTTGTGATGGCTAATTGGTCGGCCGGGAATCACGTCACATCACATTTGCATAGTGCTACGGTTCAGTAAGCACTAATTGGTCATCGAGTCCGATGTTGACGCTATAAAAAGGCGACAGTTCGACACACCGGATATACGTCANGGAAGCAAAATACCTTTTTCTCTTTCATCTCGTTCATTTTCGCATTGAGTAGTTTCCGGGCCTCTTCAGAATTGGAGCGGTTCAAGAACACGCAACCGGCCAACCAGCAAAAGATTCCGAAGGGTCCGGACCAAAAAAGCTCCTGTTTCAACACCGGCAAACAGGGATGGAAAAAAGGCCAGATGTGCATCATACCTGAAAATGTACCGACACAGAAAGGTTTAAACAATATACAATTCGTAAATTGCTAAATATGAATAATTACCACACAATTTTTATAGGAGATGAGGATTGAAAAGAGTTTCTTTAAACCTAAGCCAAATTTTTCATGTTTACTTCTAGCAAATTAGAGGAGGAGTTAAGAGGTTCTGACCACTTACAGATGAATTCTGTATAGTGATTAAGCATAAATCGCGTACGTATAAACTATCACCAACCAAAATTATCCTGTATATTTTGACAGATTAGGCTCAATACTGTTCCTAACTAATGCGATCCTAGTACTTTTAACTTATAGGATTTTAATTTTAACAATACTGAAAAAAAAACACCCGTAACTGTTTCGTACGTTCGGCATTAATTAAATAAATCTCAAAATTCAAAAATTCTGTCGTTTTTTTGGAGTTTTCTTTTTTGTAAGCGAAGATCCAGAAAATCTTCATTTAACAAGAAGCAGATTCTTCTGAAATAAATCCGTCATTATCTTTTAAACATCGAGTTTCTATACACTCGAATGATACGATCCAATTCCTTGCTAATTTTAATACGCTAAAATACACTTTAGAAACCTTCGGTGAATAAACAAGGATTTTTCAACCAGCCTTTTACCACAACGGCCTGGATTTTCAGTCGATAACGCGCGATCATTACCTATTTTAATGGGTGTTTTAAATGTTAAATCACTTCCGTGAAGCGCAAAATGGCATTTGTCAGTTTATGCCGCATCTTTATTTAATGCTCCACGATTTTCTTCTGGTTAATAGCGTTAATAATAATTACAAATTTCTCCTTATAATTAATAATGTTGCAAATAAAAGTCAGTTAACCGGAATTTTTCGAAACTATTTTAAAAATGTTCCGATTACGTCATCCGAGGCTTCGATTTAAGTGATTTGGCCAGGGAGTGGGAGCCTCATATCTAAGGCCCACATCCGTATACAGGCTCAAACTAGAATTTATATACTAAAATATATTAGTTAAAAGTCTAGAAAATCAGTTTAAGTAACTTTAAACGAGTAGAGAGGAAAGAAACTGATAAATCCAGAACCATGTTAGAAGGTATAGAGCAGGGGTGTCCAACCCGCGGGCCGCATGCGGCCCAAGGCAAGTTCCAATGAGGCCCAATAAACGTGTAAACGAAACTGACAAAATTTTAAATTTATTATGTATTTATTTATTTATTTCAAAAGCATAAAGTCAAAAAAGAAGTTTCACAAAGTTTACACATATTTTATTTTTGAGTAGAAAGAAAATATTTTCAAATACTTGGAAAGGTGTGAATGAGGAAGGAATACTAAATAAAGCTGGAGTAGTGACTCAAAGAGCATAGTCCCAAATTCGGGAAAAGGAGAGAAAGGCCAAAAGATATAAAGTAGTGAAAAAGGTAAAATAGATATTCTGTTATGCAAATATTGACCTTTAATTTTCCAACCTTCCTCACTTTATCTTTTGTCCTTTCTCTCTTTTCCCTCGTTTGGGTTTCTAATCCTTGAGCCCCAACTCCAGCTTTATTTAGTATTCCTTCCAGCGTTGCAAGATTTGGCTACTTTGCGCCAAATTTGGCTATCCTTTTTGTTAGTTTGGCGTAAAAAATATCAATTGGCGTATTGGTTACTTGTTGGTCTATATATTATTTATAAATATATTAGTTGAATAAAAATGCACTTTAAAATAGTGTTTCGTTGTTTTTTTTTTATTAGAGACCCAAATAAAAATATTTGTGTTTTTCGAAAAAACTTTTGTTCGTCTCCTCTACAATAAATAAATTTATCTATTTCTAAGTATAAATTGAAAGTGTAGAAGTAATTTTTTAAATATTCTTTTTCGTGATAGTTTTAATACTTATTACTGTAATCTAGATATGTTAATTCTTAAATATACAAGTATATTTAAGGATTGGGCTACAAGTATATATAATATATTACTGCTTGTGGCCCAAAACTCCAAGACTTCTTCCAATGTGGCCCAGAGAAACAAAAAGGTTGGACACCCCTGGTACAGAGAGAGGCCCAGCCTCAGGACCTATTAATGAGTTATATGCATTATAAAAAAGAAAAAAATAGATTAAAAATGAATACGAATCTAAATTAAAGAAAATGTGAAATTTGAAGCCAGACAAAAGGATAAATCAATTACTGTTTTTTATAATTAGGACTGTTCTCAGACTGGTTGTGCCATCTATCGATAGAAATAGAAAATAGTCAATTGATTTTTCAACAAATAATTCCACTTTGGATAATTTTTACGCAGATAATCAATATAATCGTCGAACGTACGAATAAAATAACGTTCTGAAATTAATAATAAAATATATTACTAATATATAACGATTAAATTAATTTAAATAAAATATATTAGTTCTTGGAAGGCTATAAATAATAATTATTTAGAACATTTTCAAATTTCAAAGTATAGCCTAAATACATTATTAATAATTTATTATTAAACAACAAACGAATGGCCAGATTCCTTTATAGGGCTATTAAGGCTGAGTAATTACTAAGCAATTTGGAGGAAGGCGGGACGCCATCTCTTCTTAAGTATAACAATTAAAAAATAATAATAATAATTCACTATTAATTTTATTTTGGTGTAAATATTCTTTAGAAGAGAATTTATAAAAATGTACGAAACACGACACGCAATTCCAGTTCGTATCAGTAAACCGAAAGTAAAATATAATTTTAATATTGTATGTGTGTTTTATATATACTCATTATATAGTACACAAAAACATCAAAAAGTACAGAATACGCCTTTAACAATGGGCAGCAGTTTGGGAGAAATGCAAACATTTTCAATCCGTTTAACGAATCATAGTTTATGTCCAGAGAAGACACATTAACAGGATCGAAAACATTCGGAATTTTCGAAAACTAGCCGCGTGCCTGGCTTTTGAGGAGGTGCGGAAATTGACGAGATAATGGCAAAAACAATGGTCTTCGTAACTAAAATGTACATTTGACCTTGGTATTTACAACAATGAAGTTGAAAAACACAAAAAATTGCTCGTGCTAAAGTTAATGGACTGGTACTCTAATGTGTTTGTCTCCAGAGACTTAACATTGTACGTTTACCACTTCGCCACGCCCGAACCATTGCACCTTTCTCAAATATCTCTTTGGCGGAATTATCTAGAGCAAGAGTGTCCAACCTGTTTGTTTCTCTGGGCCA